CTGGATAAGTGTGTCTTAATGCACTTAGGAACCAACAATCCTTTACTCACGCTTAACATTGCCAACCAACAGTTAAAAGTTGTTGAATGTCACTTTGATCTTGGTATTACCATCACACCTTCCCTATCATGGTCTCAACATATCGGTGAGATAGTGAAACGAGCTAACAGAACAATTTTCCTGTTCTCCAAGGCTTTTCGCAATCTCGATTTCCAGTCTTTCTGTTATCTGTTTAAATCATATCTTTGTCCACTGCTCGAACACGCTGCCGTGATCTGGTCACCGATGCTTATAAGAGATAACAAACTAATTGAAACAGTTCAGCGTAGAGCAACAAGAGTAATGTTACCATCCATTCGTAATTATCCCTATCAAGAACGACTTAAATTATTACATCTCCCAACGTTGAATCAACGTCCTCTCCGTGGAGATCTGATTTTCGCCTACAAAGCTCTAAATGGTTTCTTTGACCAGAAGACGCAACATCTTTTTGTCTTAAATCAAGATAACCGACTACGTGGACACTCCTTAAAACTGTCGAAAGAAAGGTTCAGGACCAAACAACGTCAATTCTTCTTTACAAATAGAATCTTCGATTCCTGGAACTCATTGCCTCTAGAAGTGATATCTGCTCCCTCTATTAACAGTTTTAAGAACAGATTAGACTCAATACATGAAGTTAGTTTAGACATAGTGTAACCTAAATGTAATTAATTTTGTTCTAACTATACGTTTGAAGGTAATTGTTAGGTCATTTTTTTTTTAACTTCATTAGTAATTAATTTTGCTTTGTATATTTCATTTTGTAATTTATCTAGATACTTGTATATGATTATTATTTTTCACACAAATTGTATTCGGAGAGCATCACAGGCTTTGCCTCTGCTCCATTCTTATTGCATAATAATAATAACAAGTGTAATAACCGTTTGGTGCAACACAATTGGTTCAAGCAAAAACTAAAATATGACAGGAAACAAACAGTCCACGTGGACTAGTTTATAACCGTATTTGCTGCTAAGATGACTAGGTTTTTCGCTCCATCTACCTCCACAACGATAAATATACCATACCCCAACTTGTGTACAGTGAACAAAGCTTCGTTTTTAAGCCGGAATTCCACTGAGGCAACATGTAGCATGCGGCATTGACGCATGCTACACACAATCTTTCCATTGAAGGAACACACAGCGACATTAATTGAAATTGTGTACCACATTGTCGCACGCCTACAACAGGCAACACTAGGCAACAAGTATCAAGCAACATGTCGTTCAGTGTTGCCTCAGTGGAATTCCGGCTTTATTGACGAGACTGAGCTCAGAAATGAAACAGATTATATCATAACGGAAAAGATGACATTTAATATTAAATACGTCTCTGTGCAACGTGTGCCAGAGTGACGTCAGAATTTGCAAGCCACCGTCGGCTCCGTTTGAACCAGTTTTATTTTATATATTTTTATTCGCAAATTTCGACTCTATGGACGGCTACAATATCTATGTAAGCTACTATAACAATGCATTTCTTTTGTGATTGGCTCGGGCATCTGAGTAAATTGCCCGGTGAAGATCAAATTCAACGAATCAAAAGTCGAAATTTATAGCGCGCAGATTAACTTTTAAATGCACAGGAGGAGCAGCCGAAACTGTTGCCCGAAACCATTTATAATTCATTCAAAGTAAGATTTTTGACTGGGAAATCATAAAAAAGAGTAGAAATTTAATATTTAATTCTTTCTTTTTTAAAATTTCCGACTGAGTGAAATAAAAAGTCAGCATAAAAAAACTAATTTGGGAGGGCACTGCTCATTTGCCCTCCCGGCAGCAGCCGCCATTGCCGAACTGCCTCTTTGCACTACCACAGCTACGTACAACTAAGCCGCGATGCCCCTACAAACGCCACGCGATCTCCATGCTGTGTTCGCTGCCGCCCGAGGCAGCTGCTTCAAGTATTATGCTCGCTTTGAGAACTACGTGCTGAGAATCAATGTTCCAAATTTTGGAGTCATAAAACACATAAAACATAAAACAAAATCAACATAAAATCCCATTTGCTCTTTCAAATCCACGACGACATTTATTTCGCTGATTATTTCCAAAGCGACACTGTTTTTAAAATTTAAATCTTGAATACTGCCCATTACTAAGTCAAATTCCAGACGAGAATCTATTTCAATCGAAATAATAATTTAAGAAGAACCATCCATCCCCTGAGACATTTCACAATTTAAAATATTATAAAATATTGCATAGAAACATTTCTGGTATAATATTGCGTATTTTTTTTTGTCGTCATATAAGAAAATAAAATGTATAATTTCTCTAGACTCCCTGAAATTAAATAATAATTTTATCGCTTTGAACAAGTTCTCGCGCGCTCCGGGAATTCCAGCCAGCTGCCCAGTCAACGCTACTCTAAACTGTGTCTAAACAATAATGATGCAATGTGTCGAATTGCAGAATAGCCAGACGCCGTTGTATTACGTGAGATTGACAAATTATCAATTAAAAATCATGTTAAACTTTACTTACGCATGGGGGTAACGATGGTGTCCCTTTAATGTACTGCCAATTTGCCCACACGCCCCATCTCAATTCTGATGATTCTTTTTTATCTGTCGTAAGCCGAGGGACGGAACTTAATTGTAAAATGCTTATTTTTGTACGACAAATTACCGTGTGAAATATGTTCTTAAGTAATCGTGTTATACAAAGAAAACTAAATGTATTATTGTATTAATTAATTAAAAAGAAAACCAAAAGAGAAGTCCCACCCATCCGTCTCGATCTTAACCGTGATGAACTTTTCATTCGTTGCCAGCCCGAGGGGCGGAGCGTAATTGTAAAATCGATATTTCCCTATACAAATTTATCATTTTAAACATGTTTTAAGTTTCTTGTTGTGAAAAGATGACTACACATATTAAGAAACAAAGGCAAACTGTAAGCCTCGGCCACCCGCCCTATCTCAATTGTGATTCGTTTTTTATTCGTCGTGAGCCAAGAGGAGGAGCTTAATTGCTAAGTTCTTATTTCTCTCCAAGAAAAAAAAAACATGTTTTTGAGTATCGGATTATTGAAAGAATATTATGTATGTTAAGAAAAAAACAAGCCAAAAACTTAAGCCCCACCTATATCCATCGCAAGCTCCATTATAATGAATTTTTCATTCGTTGTCAAACCAAGGGGCGCAGCCTAATTGCAAAATCGATACTTTGCAACAAAAATTTACCCTTTTAAATATGTTTTACCTTCCTTGTTGTGAAAGGAAGACTAGGTACACATATTAAGAAAAAAGGGCAAAATGTAAGCTGTTGTAGTTATAATACTCTGTTTTTGAGACGAATAGCAATAAATCTTACTGATTTAAACGTCTTATCTTATCTTTAACAATGCATAAGTACTGACGGAAAGCTAGAGTATAGAAAATGATGGCAGCTATTTAAAATATGAGGGTTTCGGTAAACAGGTGATTAAATGACTTAATTATCATTATCTCTATCAAAATTTGATTTTCGTAGAATTAGTGCTGTCAACCAGAAAAATGTCCCCCCTACTTCAGGGGATTTTCCTTCAAGTGGCAGCACTGCACACAACTGCAATTTGATTAGTTGAAAATTCAACGTCAACGACAACGTAACGGCTAAAATTAAAAGTTGGTGATCTCGAACGTCACCTCAACGGCGTGCCAACTTTCAACGGCAAATAGCAACGTCAGCGAGAAATTTATAAATCGACTTTTAGGTTGAACAACACTTTCAATGTTACGAGAATATTATCAATCATTGCCCTGTAACGATGGTCTAGTTCTTCGAAAAATTTATTTTTTTAACATGAAGCAGAATGTTGTACATGCATCATGTTTGTTATACCTAATTACTTTTAAATAGCTGTGATTGGTGTATAAACTCAGTCCGCACTTTTGTAAAATAGTCAACAATAAAGAGTTAAACAAGAGCCTCACTTGACGGTTGAATTTTCTACGTCCCGTAACAATCCCAATTACCGATGAATTCTTAAATATGTATAAAAACGAAATCATACATCATAACACAAATGTAAAATCTCAAAAAGTCTTTGATACCACTCCACAGCCCAACAATCAGGAACTACACACCCTGAACACTGTTTGCAATCAATCCTACCAAACGGCGTATTTGCTTTTAACATAACTGCTAGCATTTACTATGTGATAATCTTGATTTATTGTTAGCAGAAACAAAGGCGCCAGAAAAAGTTAATTTTTACAGACATGGCATTTACTATGGTGGTATACAGAGGTCCGTTTTTCGAACGTTTAAAGAAAAATTTGCTGTCTAGATCTTTAAATGTTTCAGTGCGAATTAACGTAGTTCCATCAATTGAGTAATTGTATAAAATGTTGTTTGTTTTTCTAGAATAAGTGCCTACAAAACAAGAATAATCTATTTTGAATACTCCAAGAAAACAACTGGTTTGAGTTGGTCTGCAAACTTTCACATTCTTCAGTAGAAGTGATCGACAAAAAAAGCTTTAATTCGTCGACCAAGAGTAGCTTCTGACAAGAGAGTTCATTTGCAATGTCGTAAATATATAACACGAAGAGCAGAGGTCTCAGGTTGGATCCCTGTGGCACCCCTGGAGTAGGATAGAAAGAATCGAACAAGAAATACTTGACAAAAAGATTGCTTCGACAATAAATGTTCAAATTCAAGCCGCACGAAAATTATTAAACCTGTAAGAAATTATTAAACCCCGTTTTTCGAGTCCACGAGGGTATTAGTTTAAACGTAAATTTTCAAGCTTCTCTCTCAAAATGGACCAACGTTTAAGATTAGTTTAAATGCTAGATACTTCACAACATTTCAGATTAGAGAAACATTAATAATTATATCTAATGTATTGGGGAGATATTAGATTAGACAAACAAATTATAGTCTATAATAAAAACAACACCATAATTACTGTTATCGAAATATTTTCATGAAAAGCGTGGTTGCCAAATCATTCGAAAATTACTACACTAACAAAATATTTTTATTTATAAATGTTGTAGAAAATACAAAGTAAAAAACAAAGCAAAGTTAGACCCAAGCAGCCCATCCTTCAAACATTCGCCCAAGCAAATTATAATCAGAGGCGTGATCTATCAAACAATCAACCTGATCTTCCACCGTCAAAGTGTCTCCTTCTTTCCTGGCTCTAAGATCAAATTCCGTCACACCCTCCACTAGTTTAATGTACGCTTCCATATACTGCTGATTCTTTTGGTGTCCTGCTCTTAAATCTTCGACCATGGTAGTAGTGGATTTAGCTCCACGTAACTTTCTTTCAGCTTGACCAATTTTTTGAATCGGGTACCACTTGGACTTGGTAGGATCTATATTCTCTCCAAATTTCGAAGCATGCTCTAACCAATCAAGTGACGGTTCTTTAATAAAAACATTCATTGTAGCCAATAAGGAACTACTGTTGCATCTGAAGGCCCTCAAACAGTGGATCATGACTTCTCTGAATAACCCTTTTTCGCCTAGAGGTTTCATCAGGCTGACTATGTGGGGTGTTAGTCGGAATGGTACTAATTCTGGGATTGGTAGAATCTGTGTGGCTGTACCAAAGGCGTGGCCAAAGTCGACACCCAGAACTTTACCATTTTTTAAGCAGATTAAAATGTTGGACAGATGTCTATCACCAACTCCAAGTATCCACTGGCTGACACACATTATGGCGTATGATGTGATGAAGTTGTTACGTAGAGCGAAAAAGCTTTCAATGTTGGTACTCAGTTTCAAAAACTGTGTCTTGAAAACGTTCAACTCAATGGAACTCGCTAGTGACTGAAATTTGGGTACCACTTTATCGCGTGTGTATTTCACGGCTGCACTACCATAAGCATCGAAAGCTTCATTTGAAAACTTGTGTACCCATTCGTGATAATTTTGAAAAAGTTGCTCATAATTTTTTACAGACTCAGAGTCTGTGAGTGATTTCTTGACGAAGTCTTGTAAAGAACTCGTGTTGTCAATCCACTGTATTAAACCCAAATTTGTCGTTAGAGGTATCACCTGTGAATAATTTTTTAATAAATAATAGTAAGTATAGTGACTTTAAAAATTACTTGGTATGTAAGAATGGAGAACTTCTTGCCACTTATTAGTGACTTATCGTTATCAAAAATATTATTCATCAATGAAAACAGCTGTTGTATTCTTTGATCCTGTCGTATGTCTTCACCGAATTTGATAAGAAACGGGTATTCTTTGGTGTCGTTTCCCAAAATGGTGATTTTTATAGGTTTCTGGAGAGATGGCATGACTGAAACCTGAATAAAAATTCATACCTACATAGTTTTGTTGGAGAAATAAACAGGTCTCACGTTTGGGTTAAAACCAGATATTTTGACGTGGTGTTGAGTCAGTGGGAGTTTGTTGCCATCATACTGACCCGGTATTTCCAAGTCAACGTCCATTTTGTGGGCAGAAAAATTAGACAACCAAGGACAATAGTCTTTCAGTAATTTTGAATTTTTCTTTGCTTCACCCTCATTTTGTAAAGTTGCACTCAATTCTTTATTAATATTCTTTAATGGTTCGATTAAATCTGCACTCTGGGTGGAACTCAAACCTTAAAAGTAAACGTAGATACAACAAATAATATCAGAGATTATTGTAAACATAGAAGTTGGCAGTAAATTTAAGTTAACATTCGTTAAATAGTAGTTATGTAGTGCGACCTTATCAAATTTCCCGCCACAAAGTGGGCTAGAAGCCCCATTACATATCGCGCATGTGCAGAGATGCCAATTTTTGCCAACACGTTAACGCTGTCAGATATCTTAACTAAAGCTTACGATCAAGTAAGTTCTTAAAATCTTCACTAAACTTTGTGATTTTCTTAAACATATTTCCTTGCATTAAAGAAACATCACGCGAATCCGGTTCACAATTAAACAGATTATCTAAAAGATATTCTAACAAGCGTTTAGCCTGAGCCAAGTCTTCTGTTTGAATAGATTTAACTATTTTGCGATTAAAGTACATTAAAATGGAGGCTGGTACTCCAACAAATGGGAGGGCTTTCAAAAATTCGTCAATTCTGCTATCACTAAGCAAAATATTGTCCAACCTAAAAAATAACAATAACGAACGATAAAGACTCAAATTTAAATTAATATGTACTTCTCGATTAATTCGTTAAATTCCGTGTAGTCTGACTTGTAATTTTCTTTACTTAATCTGTATGCGTACATAATAGCTTGTGGGTAAGTTTTTGCTATTTTCAGAACAAGTGGTGCTACTGCTGAAATTTTTGGGGAATCAAGGGTGACTAAAATTTGAGGAATCCAACCGAGGAACATCCACACTGGTAGTTTACTCGTCTGAAAATTGTCATTTATAAAGGTTTGTCTTCCAGAAAAACTTACTTCTTCAATAAATTGTTCCTTGTCTTCGTCTTCAAACTCCTTCTCCATTATTATACACGGAAATAACTGTCGTCCCTCGGACGAATTGAACTTCATGGCTCTTAAAACACAAAGCATAAAGTCACTGAAATAAGATTCTCCCTGTTTCTTTGCAAAATAAGCAAGCTGGACGTAAGCATGTGCTACTGTGTCGTACTCTCGGTTTGACTGGCTTGTGTCAGTTTCCATAGCGTTTTCTATCTCGGTTTCATAAAAGGGAAGAAATTGTTTTAACATTTCTGCTCCAAATAGTGCGGGATCTTCAACTGAAGAAATACTGTCAGCTTCAATCAAGCTTGTAAGGAACTGTTTCTGCTGACAATGTTGATCATCATTGAGAAAACGTTGAAAGAATTCGTTGTCGTTCCGAAAAATAGAAGAAATTTCATTCAGCTGTTGAAAAAGATGAAAATGTGCTAAAGCTTTCAGCGGTGACTGGCCTGGTACTTGAAATATTTTTCCTAGAATTAGTTTACTTTAAAAAGCTGTGAAACGTAATAAACAGAAAAATACCCAGCGGTTTGCAACCTTTTAACAAAACATCTAACTTAATGGTGGGGTCGTCTAACATTGATGACTTCAGGTAAGCCATTTTACTGAGTACCACTTCAAGTTTCAGGATATTGTGTTTACTGTAACTACGGAGGTATTTTCTCGTCATGAAAAAATTATTTTGTTCAATTCCAATATCCATAAGGCCTTCATCTAAATTAAACCTTAGTTGGTTTAGATCAGGAACGATATTTTCTAACTCTTGCGCATTGTATGACTTTATTTTGTCTACAAGCAAATTTAGAAACTGTTTGCGATATAATACTTTTTCTTCGCAATATAAGATCGATGGTACATTTTCGTTAGCCGTTCTGGTCCAACGATTAATCAAATCTTGTACTCTTTCTACGTTTTTCACGTTCAAATTGTTGAACACTGACAGAAAGTCGTTGGTGTCAATTATGTTGCGCAACTTCAACAACTGATTATAGCGAAGATTGGAATAAAATAAGTCCAGCTGTTGCCAATTATCCAAGAACTTATTCAAATACATTTTCAAATACTTTTCAGCTTCGTCACTTTCTTTCTGTAAAATCCACAGCATAGCAATTTCTTCACAGAAACGGTTTTCCAAATAGTCCAACCGATCAGAATTGACACTTTCGTTGAGACTTGAGAGAAACTGGTTTGATGCGTTCTTAGTGAACAAGGAGTTCTTTAATTGTCCACTGATGTACCAAGGCATTAATTTGTGTTGATTGAAACCTTGGTCCCACAAACTGTCCCAATTCTTTCCAACAAGGGAATCAATTTGTTCTACCACTTTATCCCATTCTCCTAAATGTGCAAAACATTTGATATATGATTCGTAATAAAAACCCTTTCTCTGTAAATTCTCGTCGGTTTGAATGAGTTTCCCGTATTCATCTTGAGCATTTCTCCACTGCTTGCGAGATTCTGCAACGAGAGCGGTTTTGACACTTTCTGGGCAATCAGTTTTTTCAAGAAAGATGGATTTGACTACATCCCAATCGTCCATATCTTTGTATAACCTGAAATTAGCAAAAGTAGCATAATTTCTTCCCAGAAAAAATTATTACTCTGCAAGGCTTATCCACAGACTGATTTCATTGGTGGTTTCTTGTGGATCCAAGGATGAAGAATTGGAAGATGTAAGATATTCTTCTAAAAGTAGTACACCTAAAGTTCTTAAGCCGCTAGATTGACAAACCGAGACTATTAAATCAGCAGGAAGTACTATCGAGCTTTTGCACTGCAGAAGTGCATCAAATAAAGTTCGAAACAAGTTTCGATTAAATTGAGTCGAGTTGTTAAAAATGGCTTCAATGGCAACTGAAACTGGCTCCAAAAAAGCTTGATCACTTCTCACTTTGTGTAATACGTTTTGGAATAGTTGAGAATACAAGATTTTTGAAATTTCGCCGTCATGCTAAAATATCAAATTAAAATTGTTAGGATTTCGTCATGTACATATACATTTTTGTGAAAAAACTACTTACCAAGGTAAGGGCTTGAAGTGGTTCCAACACGTCCTGCAGAGTAATTTGAACATCTGGGAAATCTCCTTTCTTATAACTACGATAAATAACGACTTTATATTCACGTTCTTCTACTAAATCTTTCCTCTGCTCCGTTTTCTGCACCGATTTCCTCACTTCCTGCTCAGCAAAATAGCTTCTGATCTGCGACTTATCTCTAGGAAATCGTCGCTTAGGAATTTGGTACTTGTGTGATAGTGGTACCAAATAAGGATTAACCCTCTCTTCATCGCGTTTTACATAAAGACTACTCTCACTCATCGTGTACTGTGAAAACTGCTTATCTCGAACACTTTGAGTCTGAGCAAACTCACGAGCAGTTTGAGTCTGACGAAGTTTGCTCATGTCCCAATCCATATTCTCAAAATCTGGATCAAAAGTTCTCACAGTTTCGGCAAATAACGGCACTACAGACAGGTGTCGAAGACGCCAGTTAGTCTGAAGCTCGTGTTTTTCAAAATCACAGTCTTCCAAAGGATGTTTAAAGAGAGATTCTTTGTATTCGTCCGACTGCTTGATACTATCCAAGAGGAGGTGCGAACTATAACCCAGAAAGTCGTTTTCTGTGGCCACTTCATACAAGTTTGACAAAACATATGTAAATCGCGCTGCGATGGGTGAAGGCAACTCGTGGTGGTTTTTCCAGAAATCAAAAACTTTTTCACGAATTTCGTTATCTGGATCTGTGAGTCCTTGAACAAGAATTGGTTTACACAAGTCTAGAATCTCCGTGCTGTATGTTCCCTTCTGCCAGATTAGTGTGACGATGTCAAACATTCGTGTTCTGCACAAAACGTTTGAGTTTGATACGTGAGTACACACTGCTTTTATAATGGATTTGAAGAGCGCGGACTCTTTTAAAACGTCCAAACACTTGTGGACGATTTCTAGACTCAGCAACTGCACTTCGAGGTCGTCGTTGTTAATGTACGAATCCCACTTTTCTGTTTTGAATTCATCAATTTTATCCGTAATGCTACTTCTGGTTAAAATGATTTTCAAGTAAATTACTTTCAGGGGTTTAGGTAGTCCATGGACTTGACTTAACAGATGTTTTATGTGAGACTCATCCGCTACTTCGGGATAATGTAAAACAATAGCTTCCAAAACGTCTGCAAATTTCTTTGGATCAATCTTCTTCAAAAGATCGTGGACATTATCGACAACTTTGGATAAAGCTGCATCTTTGTTTTTTAAACGTAACAAAAGACCTATGATTTCACAACACGGTTTGTACGTTCTTTTGTAATTATTTTTCAAAATAATATTGAATACGGTTTCACAAAATTCGGTTGTTTTGTTTTCCCAAGGGAAGATTTTGTTTGCCAAAAAAATGGAAAATAAATGTATTCCAACCTCCACTGTTTTAGATTTGGGATCAACGTTTAATTTAGAATAGAGTAAGTCATAACTAACGGTGATGGACGATTTCCATGCTTCAATCAGCAAACGGATTAAGTCCAAATGGTACTTAAACATATCTTGTCTTTCGTTATTAAGGTGGTTAATCAAAAACGTAATCAAATCGGACGCAAGTTGAACTTCTTGTGCGGTTTGTGGAACCACGTTAGTAGACCAAGCGGCCAAAATAGCAACCTATTTATAATTTGAATTGTTACAGAAAAAAATGACAACATTGCGTTAACGACTTACCACATCAATTATGAAATAATTAAGACCATTTCCAGCACACTTATCTACAATGAATTTTAGAAGTGGCTCTAAAAACCATTTTGCAAAATCCTTGAAAATATGTATCATATTGTCAATAACTTTGATCCAAAATATTTTAATATTACTGTGTGTTTTTGGATTTAGTAGGAGTGTTCTGATCCCTAAAAATTACTGCTAGTTTTTAATAGTATAGTTATATACGTACTACTTACCATTGACCCAAGCCGGTAGTTCGTAGTCATCGGCTTCTTCACTTGGTAAGTCTATGACATTTGTATTGACCATATGTTCAATTAGTCCACACACAGTCGCCATACACTCGTGACTATTAACATCTGTACAATCTAGTTCTATTTCACTTTGAATCGGAGTTTCACCACTAAATTTTTTTTGCTTTAGTTCGCGTACAAGAGTATTAGTGAAGTCAAAGTTGTTAAAGTCTTCTGATAAAGAACTATTGTAAAGTCGCATCGATTCTATGTACCTTATAGACTGTGTCTGACCAACCTGCTTTTTCTTTTGTGCCCGCACTTGGTCTCTAATGTTTACAAGAACTTTTCTTTTGTTTGGGATCGTTTCAAAGTCTGTTTGAAAAACGTACTTCTTTTTGGTGTCAATTAGATTATTCCACAATATATCCACATTGTTTTCTTGACGTACAAAAAGTTTTGTGTAGAAGTTGACCTCTTTCACTGAGTTACTCACAATCGATACCATGGCACTGTATAAATGACACTTATACAAACGGAAGAATTCCTCACAATCAAAAGAATCTTTAATAGCGTCAAGAGTTATTTTTAGCAACTGACACAAAAACGCTTTATTACTCGGCTTTTCAGGCAGAGCAGCTTGTGTTATTCTATGAATTTCGGTATCAGTACTTCCAACTGGACATCTAAAGAATAACGTTTCTATTAATAAACAGTAGGAGATTTTCGTAACCAAGTTTTCCCGTGTAACTGGTTGTTTTAAAGTGGATATCATTTCCACAATATGGTCGACGAAAAAATCTTCAAAAACGAGAAGATCGCAATACTGGAAGACCGATATGGTGTTAGAGACTAGTTTATATCTTTGAAGATTGTCTAAATCGTGGTTCAGATACAAGCTGTATAACTTGGATAGTGAAATTTTCTGTGTTGGTTGTGTGTTTCTTATGTAGTCAGTCAGGAAATGGTTCATATCAGAACTGCTCTTCTCAGTTGCTATTTTCACGAAGAGATCCAACAAAAACATGAGAAGCTCCGGGGTTTGTATTTTAGGTACCGAACACAATAATTTATCTAAAAATATTGTTTTGGCTTCTGGTGGAATTGGAGAAACGTCCGATAATAACCTGCTTTTTACCTTCAACAAGCCATCTCTAAAAATACAAATATCCAGTTATAAAAGTTTGTGATAATTAAGATTTTTAATTAAGATAAATTTAATGACTGGAATATTTTGTTCCTTAGTTTAGTAGCTGTGATAGTGAAGTTTTCAAATATAACATCAACTAAATGTAGATTTCCTTTTTTTTACATCTAGGGGCTGATTTTCATATCGAATTTATTTTTCAAACGAAAAAGACAAATTATATAATAATTATAAAGACGTGAAATATGAAGATACTTAATTACAATTACAGTCAAACGCTTAAAGTCTCCCTATTATGGAAATTCTATGTGTATGTGAAGTAAAATTAGAGGGTTTCCATTTTTTTAGAGAAGTGATGTTATTACAAAGAAATGTTTCAAAGGGTCTTACTATTATTTGGTTTATAACAAAATTGAGTATGATATTATTAAATTGTAGAAGAGGCATCTAAAACGACTAAAAGTTAAAACAGAAATAGGTGTGGATTACAAAACTATAGGTAAAGAAGCGAGTTTTTCATAATAAAATTTTGCGATCATCAAAGACAAAAAGAAACGACAAAAAATGCTACAAACGGGAGAAAAAAATTGATCGAAAGTTGTTTCGACAGAACTTCCCTCGCACCTAAAGTATAGTGTCTCAGATACTACAAGGTTATATGGCTGATGCTTATGTGTTGATTTAATATACCAAGAATGAAGTGGATTACACAGCAGTATTATTGATTCATGATGCTAGGATTGAGCCGGTAACCAGCCGCACGAAAGGAATTATAACATCCCATTATTAAGTGTTTAATGGGGCATACAACCTTATAGTATCTGAGACACTATACAATGAAATACATCCAGCATTTTCGAGTTGAGTTTTTCCGTTCACAAATTTGTGACGACTTCATCAACATTTTTGCCAGGACACGTATATCAACAGTATTGTATTCCCAAAATTTTCTGAGAAAATGGAGTGAGCCGTTTTTGATTTAATAAATAAATTTGACTCATGAATGCAATGATAAATCACAAGTAAAAACTCATTATATTTTGTACATTTTGGGTGCAATTTATTCGGCAAAATTTTGAGATGACGTCATTAGTTTTTTGCGGGGAATAAACAAATACATTTTGATTAACAATTTACCATGTTTACAATAACTTTAAAACGTCTGCGAGATTTCAAAGTATTCAGTTTTGCAATTCTTGATTTATTCAATAAAATAAATTGACTGATTCATTAATTTTTTGAGTGACCGTGTATAAGCAAATCTATAAAATGAGGTTCTTAATTTAATCAATAAAAAATTGGTCGTAGGCTGTAGGCATAATTAGACAAATCCAGCTCTTTAAAAAATTATAAAATTTGATTTTACGATTTTCGTTTGGTGATAGCCGCTGTAAACTAAAAACCAGAGGTATAAATAACACCCCTTGTCCTTCAGCTACTACGTAATAGCAATCTGACGTGATAAAAAGCCACTAAAAGTCAAAAAGGCTACAAAAATAGAGAACAAAAATCCAACAAAAAAGTGACAAAAAATGCTGATAAAAAAGAACAAAAAAAGTGTCAAAAAAGCGATAAAATGAAAAATTGGCAGAAGGTTTTTTCGATAAGATCTCTCTCGCATCCGAAGTCAAGCATTCAAACGAAGTCAGTGTCTTTAAACGACGATGAGATTCGAACGGATTCATAAACTACAGGTGTAAGAGTATATATTTTAAAAAATTTAAAAAATCGGTCGAAAGTTGTTTCGACAGAACTTCCCTCGCACCGAAAGTACCATGAAGCGGACGAGTAGGCGGGTGGGCGGAGCTAGTATTAGTTAAAATAAGATTGATTTTGTTAAATGACTGAACAATATTAAGAGTAATCACAAGAATGAAGAGGGGGGTGGGTGGGCGGGGCTATTGGTAGCTTATAAAAGATTCTGTAGGAAAAAATTAAACTTAGCCCCGCCCACCCCTTCCCTTATTTTTTTTTTCTTCAGAAATAAGAAATAAATGTAGCAAACAACTAGAATAACAAAGAAAAAATACGATTAACATTTTTTTAAACAGTCCACGTTCTATTCGTTTCCATTTCCAAAAGAACATAATCCAGTGATTTATTTGATTTTGCCCCAATGAAAGGTGGATCTCAATTGAAGAGAAATAAAATCGTCGAATGAGAACAGCGTGTGTAGGCGGGGTTAGCACCTGCTAAGATGAGATTGATTTTGGTAAATAACATATCTTCTAAGAAAATAAAGGGTGGGTGGGCGGGGCTAGTACTTGTTAGTATAAGATTTCCGTAAATGACATATCCTCTAAGAAAAAAATGGTGGATGGGCGGGGCTAAAACTTGCTAAGATAGGACTGAACAATATTAAGATTTGTCACTGAAACAAAGAAGGGGTGGGTAGGCGTGGCTACTGCTTGCTCATAGAACTAGGAAAAAGTTAAATTTAGCCACTCTTTTCTCCGTTTCGCTGACTTATTTTATTGAGTGTAAAATGGAAATTGAAAAATAACAGTATCGTAATTAATTTTTTCGAGCATTTTGTATAAGTAAATCGAAAAAATATGAATGCTGTGAAAAATAACAAGTAAAAACTCATCATATTTTGCACATTTTACATAGAATTTATTCGGCAAAACTTTGTTATAACGTAATAATTTTTTTGGGGGAATGAGCAAATACATGTTGATCAAAAATTTACCATGCTTATCATAACTTTAAAACATCTCCAAGATTTCAAAGCAATCGGTTTTGTAGTCCTTGATTAAATCAATAAAATACTTCATTGATTCATTGATTTTTTGAGTCACCCTGTATAACTAGAAAATCAGATGTACAGACTCATCATATTTTGTACATTTTAGATAGGATTTATTCGACAGACGGACAGACAGACGGACAGACAGACGAACAGACAGACGTTCTCTAAGGGTCATGAAAGGTCGAGAAAATGTAAAAGTAGAGAGTCGGCCGAAGGATTCGATTACAATACTTCGTTTGCTTATGCTCGGGAAGTAAAAAAGTGTACGATTAAATGCACCACTTGTGAAACAAGTCTTTGTACAAAGGAAGTTACAATCTTATTTACAACAATTGTAAATGATAGTACGTAAAGACCAAAAAATTCATATAGATTTCAAGCTTGATACAACAAAATCTTACATCTAAGTATCTAAATACTTGTTCAACACTTCGATATCACCAAACTAAGAAAAAAATACACATCTCAACTTTTAGCTTGTGTAGTCAATTTTACTCTACGATACTAACCTTAGACTAGTATTATCATCATCTGTTTCATCCATCACGTCCACTAATAAATGAAAAACTTCAGCTTTAAAGTCAAGCTCATATTTCCATGAATTTTGTTCAGCATGTAACAGACTCACTAACCAATTCTTCACGGGCCCACTGGACAATTTACATGACTTTAGTATAGGAAGCAAACACTTAACAAAATCCAAACCGCTTTCGGCGTTATTTTCATTAAAATGTGTCTCAAAAACAGTCCAAGTTGTCAAGAGTTTAGCTACCGCAGCCTCGTTCACGAACTTAAGTCGTCTTTTGGGTACCGTGTAAAAGAATACATAAAAAAGTAGCTCCCTAGTTCGACTTATCGCACTATAATTCTTCAAACTTAGATCTAAAAACGTATCAAATTTGTTGACGATCTTCTCCATCACGGAATCTTCAAACGTCTTCAGAAGATAAGTACCCAAGTGGATCCGCTGCTTGAACTCTGCTGTTTGAACTTGGTACGGTTTATACAAAAAGTCAACAAAACTCTTAAACTCATTTTCATTAGAAAGAGCAAAATCAAAAATTGATAGACAGTACGTTAATATTGTATCCTGAAATGGATCGACATAAATAATTCCACTTCTTGCTTCTCTGATAAACTTGTTCAACAAGGTTGGAATCAAGTTATTAGAGAAGTTTTCAAACGAGAATTGCGTCAGTGAAAACGACTGCAACATGTTCAGTGCTTTTAGAAGATTTCTCTGTTTGGGAGAAACATTCTTGTTGAAGTCTATATCAGTTACTAAATGCTGGTTGACATAACCTTGCAAAAGTTTCAGCAACTCCGCAGCTTTGTCTGGTGGTAAATTCGTCAAAAACGTTTTCACTGTTGGTGCAATGTAACCATCAATGTTACTATCGGGTAACAGACATGTAAATCCTAAACTCTCGCGATTGAATATTATCTCAACAACGAAATTCCCCAAATCCGGGGTCCAAAACAAAAGGAAGTTGGGCGAGAGAGCGTTCAAAAGCTCTAAAATCTTGACAGCCGCTTGGGATCTCTGTTTATCAAAAGTTTGTATATCGAATGAGGTAAACAACCACTCTTTGACTTCAATAAGACTGTAAGCTTGTTCCAAAGTTGCTTTAGACAGTTTATTGAGGAAATAATGAATGCCATTGATAATAGTTTCGGTTAAAATATTGTCCAAGGGTGTTAGCTTGTTAGTGACGACAAACTTGTACCCATCTAGTGCACACAAAAACGCTTGCATCCATTTATTTGGTCCTAATCCTTCACATTTTGATAAATTTTCTAAAGTTGGGTACCGCGTCAAAAATGCTTCATAAATTTCTACAACCCAGTTCGTTTTTTTGAAAGATGTAACAAACGTTTGAAGAGTGCTAAATTGTGTTGTTTTTGGTGCCAAGCTGCAAAACAGTTCCATGCATTTTTCGCGACAATACCGACTCGATGATCCTGTTTGTTCTAGCAACCAAAGAACAACATGCTCCAAAGTTTCTCCTTCCATATCAACGGGGATCCTTCGATGTCTATCCGCCTTATTAAACATACTGGATTTTTCCACAAAGCCTCTTTCTAAATGGCTTAAGGCGCTATTTATGTGTGTAATTGAATTTTCGTCGGTTGCTTCATATTCATAAGTTGAAAGACTTTTAACAAAGATGTGAAGAAATTCAATCCAAAACATACTCAAAAGAGCAGTTTCTTCGCGAAGTTCTCTATATATGTTATTGAAAATTAAAGCAGCTCCTAGTTTTTTGGAAGGGTCTGGATGCATGCTGTAAAATCGCATTTTTTTAATTAGGATTTTGATGTTAATCTGATCTATGGCTAAATTTTTTTCGCTTGTTTGTTTAATTGTCCATTTGACGAATTCGTTGATGCATTTGCCTAAGAAATCTCGTAACGCAGTGTCAGTTGGGTGGGTTATATTTTCCTAGAAAGATGTGGTTAAATGTAACTATATACCTATAGGGACAATTTAGTATTTACCAGAACCGACTCAATGAATATAGCGCTATGTTCGCTTCGCAATTGTGACACTTGTGTATACCAATGAATTAACTGAAAACATAGAGGTCTATATAGTTGTTCAATGACTGGGTCCATGTCACATCCGAGCTTCAGTAGAGGTACAGATATATGTCTCAATAATTCATTTAAATCGGAGAGACCAGATTGTGTCATTTGTTTTGCTAAAATTTGATTACTGTATTACGCCCGAGAACAAAAAATCAAAGTACTTACTTGCTCCCAAAAAAATCATAATTATAGCTTGTAGTAGCTCACAAGCCATAACTCTAGTTTTCCTGTCAGAACTATTTAGTGCTATGTTAATAATTCTTGGAAGTAGTTTATCAAGGTATATATCTAACTTGATATCATTATAGGGTAACACGATTTTCAGATGTTGCTGATTACTCCAAACAGACAAATTCGTGTCATCCTCATGAAAAGCAAAAGCTTCACATAACGCATTGCTTTGTCCACCAACAAATTTTATAATCCTTATTTGAAGTCTAGTAAGTTCTGATTCAAAGTTAAGTAAAACTTTACGTTTCTTCAGCGCTTGTGCAGTTTTTCTTCTAGTTTCGGGAACACTGGAATCCGTGAAACGTCCCAACGATTTGCTCTGTAGGTAATAGTCTAGCAATGGTATAACCTGTATTAAGAAAGGTTCCATTTCTTCATACATGATCTCCTTTTGCCACTGTTCCAACGTATCTAAAGCCATGTTGGCCAACTGTACGTAATTTCGACCAACATAGAAAATCGTTTTGAAACAAGCTACACATGCTGGTAATATTTTCCGGATTATAACAATCGGATACTGTAGAAGAACTTGAAGACATGCAATCAGTAAGTCTGCTTTATACTCTTGCGTTTTGCTTAAAATGCTGTTGGCGAATATCGTTAAAGTTGAGTTACACATTTGGACATCCTGAACAACGCTGCTTCTAGATTCATCGAAGTAATTTATCTTGTTGCAAACTTTTAAAATGAACGAAAGCAGCTTGTAAAACCCACTAATCAAAGGAAACTTTTTGCATTTATCCACGAGACACCGTATCAACTTGCTAGCCCACTGTTTCAAATTTGAGGGGTCGACTTCTTCAAAAATCTTCTGATAAAAATCCACCACGTTTAAGAAAATAGCGAAGTCATTAGCTTCGGCTACTTTATATGCAGACTGTATATCCGTTGCAGCCTCCGCTGCCTCATTCAAAACAATGGAAACATTGAGTTTGTCAATTAACACCAGCAAAGTTTTCATTAATTTATTTATAATCTTTGTCAAAATGTCTATGCGATTATCCGAACAAATCCCCATCTTGTCGAATTTATGCCTCAACAATTTTCGCCACATCTTGAAATAATTCTTGACAGTAAGTACTCCAGGTGTACCTTTTTCTAAAATATCAGCTTCTGAGACGTGCTGATGCGAGCAAGACCAAACTACTCCTCGATATATCACACTGTCCACAAAATTATCGAAAAGTTTTTCATCGTTGCATAACAAATAGTAGCAAGTTGATACTAAAGCCTCTATAACAGCGGCGTGGCAGGAAAATGGCAACTGTGGGTAAACCTTAATCATCAAAATTGCTACTTTTTGTAATGAAAAAAGTTCACTGTTTGTAATTTTTCCGACATGGACGAATTTTATCATAGTCTCTAAGTGGTATGATAGATTTTGTAAAACGTCCCTCGATGGTTCTGGATTAAGAATAAAGCTTTGTTCGATGTTCTGAACTATCAAAATAAGTGTGTTTTTGAATTCCTCTTCACTTAACTGTGGTAAAAATGAAACAAATCCGTGCAAACACAGATATTTTTCGGAATGAGTAGCTTTGTTATTATTGAACGTTTGATTAAAATATTGCATAAAATACTAAAAACGTCAAAGTATTATTATAATTTTTAATGTTGACCACGATTTTACTAACCCTTATAACATCTGTATGTTGCTGAGATAGTAAAAATGTTCCTAGGGCACTATACAAAGCTTTAATCACGAAAACACCAACTTTTTGATCATCAGGTCCATAATCCAACCATTCTAACAAAGTTTTGTGCCAATTTCCGATGTTTTTAATCATTAAATTAATAAATATTGACATATTATTTCCAAGGAACGTTAAGGCAGCTGAAATAATTTGAACAGTCGAATTGAAAAAAATAATCAGATTGAATCTTACCTCTATTGGCGATTTTTATTTCAGATGTTGGTATTCTCATTTGATCAAGATAATTGTAAAGGTTGTTAATGTCGGTCTCATCTTTTTTTGACTTTGGATCGAGGGGAAAACTTTCACAAAAATGGTCCAGTCCAGTAAAAACACCGCAGACGACCCCATTAGAAAAATCTTTCTTGTTCATTTCAGCTTTCAGTGCACTTATAAAAATGGACTTCAAGCTTTCGTGGTTAGTTATCGAATCTTGAAAGTACTTAGCAAAAGCTCCTAAGGCTTTGAAGACTTTTTCTTGAACTAAGAAATGATCAAGTCGTGTAAAACCGACTAAATATCACTTGATACTATTACCTGTGACGAGTTTGTTCGTATTAACTATTCTTAATAAACTGGCGTACACATTATTGTAACACGCAGGATAATCTAAACACTTGTTAATTTTTTCAAAACTAAGAGTCGCCACTTCTAACGCTCTTACTTTTGTATCGGAGGAGATAAGTGAGGAGTTGATGACTTTGAAATATGTATCGTATATCACAGTTATATATTTCTCTACTTTTGAAGAAAAATTATTTATCAAAGTATAAATTATCTCGAAGACATATATAACCGACGACTGGAATTGTTTCTTATTCACAATTTTTGTAACGAAGTCAAGAAGACCTTCTGATTTGTTGAATAAATATTGTAGGTATAAGTCTGGAAAAGTATATACTTCATAAAAAAAATATTTAAAGGTGGTGCTAAAAACTACCCAAATCAGGAATGTTAACTTGTTCTCGTGTTAAAACATCGTTTAAGTTCATAATTAATTGGTTGCATTGTCTTGGTCCTGCGTTCTCATCTTCCAAATACTGATAGAGCAAAGTGAAAAAACGTCTTAGATCCAAATCCATGGTTATATTTGTATTAATACACAGTTTGCGGAACTCTGAAAAGTACATGTATTTTTGCTGCTGATTGTGAAGCTGGTTAGTTAATATTTTGTAATATAAGCAGGTTAATTGTTAAGCAGTTATTGTTCTGTGCTTTCAGCAAATTAATTACTTAGTAACTTCAAAGTTAGAATCGAAATTTATGACGTGGTTCAAACCCTACTTAGAAAAGTGTATCTTCTTGATCAAAGTAATCAGTTTAACTGATGTTCCAATGTTCTAAGCCATTAAAAAGAAAAAAAAAAAGATATCGGCAGGTTTGAAAATCTTAATTAGGAGTAGTATTTTATAGCTTGTTGTGATATTGCTTTTATGCAGGTTTGGAACAGTTCTAACTTCCTTGAAAAAACAATCATGTAATCACAAATTGAAAAAATCGGAAACATTTACAGGTGAGGTCAACAAATTTTTGTGTAAAGCATAGTGATAACCAGACTTCGGCATTACGGAAGTGTGCCGTCTGATCGCCAGCGCTATTGCAGTCATGGTCTAAAACTTCAGGAATTCTTAATAACAATTACTACTTTTTCTCGGTTTACCTCAGTCATACGAGTTCTCCTAGATGTTAAAATGCTTTAAAAATTAAAAATGACTGTTCAACATCACAATTTCCGTGACGATCTTGATTAGATAAACCCTGATTTGCATCAAACGCTACTGAGGTTGAGACGTGGTTGAGACTGCACAGTCGGCCATCCAAATTTATCGCCTGACGTCGCGCCGTCGTTTTTAATATTTGTCTGGTTCATTGCCCATCCCTTCGGCTGTGCCTAACTCTGGTGATAACAAATGCTTACTAATAAAGATTTGATAATATAATTTTATTCCATTTGGTAGTCTAAAACTTGCTGTTCTGTTTGTAAGGAGACAAAGGTCTTAAGGTGGAGGAATTTTGTCTGGTTTGTTGGCAATGCAGATCCGTGGGGTGCAGTTTATAAGCTCTGTAGGAGTGAAAAGAACGAACGACTGATAGGCGTATGGAACGGTGATAGGAAAACGGAAACTTGGAGGGATACGGTGGAGGTATTGTTGAGAGAGTTTTTCCCAGTTGACGTTCCCGTGAACTATGAATTGTATGAAGGGGTGGAGGGTGTCGTGGAGAGAATGAATTATGATGAGGTTGAAAGGAGCGTGAGGAGTATGAGGAAGAAGAAGAAGTTGCCGGGAATGGATGATGTGGTGCCTGAAAGGATGGCGGTTCTGTGGAAGACTGTTCCGAAGTATGTGTTATTAATGAATGGTATGGGGGAAGGATGGGTTCCGGACGAATGGAAGGTAGCGCAACTGGTCATCCTCTTGAAGGGCGTGGATAAGGATAGGTCATTACGGAGGTCGCATAGGCCTATTCGCCTTTTGAGTGTGATGGGAAAAGTGTTTGAGAGAGTACTGGTGGGAAGACTGGCGAGGGTAATTGAAAGAAGAAGGTCGAGGATTCTTGAAAGTATTGGGAATACAGGATGCGTGGATAAGACTGAAATAGGTTGTGGCGTGGTCGGAAAAGAAGTACGTGTCGGGAATTTTTGTTCATTTTAAAGGAGTGTTTGATAATAATCTGAGCTGGAATGCGGTGTTGAGTAAATTGATGGAAGTTGGGTGTACGGAGATCAAAGTTTGGGCGAGTTATTTTAGAGATCGGAATATGTGATGTGGTAGGAGGGGCAAATGAGGTGGAAAGGAAGGTGTGTAGGGGATGTCCACAAAGATCTATCTGTGGAACGGCGGTTTGGAACATGATGATGGACGGGTTGTTGGAGGAGATTGGAAGAAGGGGGATATCGTGTGGGGCGTATGCGGATGCTCTATTGTGTATGATTGAGGCGGATAATAGGAAGGAGATTGAGGATGTGAGAACGGCAGCGATGGAAATGGTGGTTGCTTGGGGAAATGGAGTGGGTGTCGAGATGTCCAGGGAGAAAACGGTTATGATGCTTCTGAAGGGATCGGTGTCTGATTCGAGACCGCCGAATGTGCGGGTTAAGGATAAGCGTGTGAAGTATATGAAAGAGGTGAAATATCTGGGTACAAGAGTTAGTGGGTGTATGAATTTTAGGCCGCAAGTCGTGAGTCTGGGAGGTAGGGTGATGGGGAAATTGAGGCGGGTATTGAGGAATGAATGGGGTCTAGATAAACGAACGGTACGAGTGATATATAAAGGATTGGTGGTTGCGTGTGCTTCGTTTGGTATGAGGGTATGGTGTGATGTGTTTAGGTTTGGGTGTGCGAGGGAGTTGGTGAAAAGGTGTCAAAGGAGCGTGTTGTATGGGTGCATGGTGTTTTGTAGGACAGTGAGTACGGATGCGATGCAAGTGTTGATGGGAGACTTACCGTGGGATTTGGAATTTTTGAGGAGAGGAGTGATGTTGAGGGCGAAAAGGGGAGTGAGTTTAGGAGAATTGGGATGGCTGTAGATTAAGTTAGAAGAGGGAGAGAATCTGGAGAAAAAGGGTGTGTTGGATGCGAAACTGTGGGAGACCTGGCAAAGAAGATGGGATATGAGCGAGAAAGGTAGAGTGACTCATGATTTTGTTCCAAGTGTGAGGTTTGCGAGTGAGAATGTTTGGTTTGAGCCAGGAATGTTTGGGTTGTTTTTGTTGAATGAGTTTTTAAATAAAAGAGGACTGAGTGATACGGATCTGTGTGGTTGCGGTAGGGTAGAGAATGTTTCGCATATTGTTTTCGAGTGTGGATTGTATGATGAGGAAAGAAGGAGTTGTGAATGGTCAGAATAGATGGGGGAAGGGGAAAGACGATTTGAGAGGTTGTTGGAATCAAAGGCGATGTGTAAGAGATTAATGGGATTCGCGGAAAGGGCGTGTAAGAAAATGAGAAGGATGAGAGAGGGTGTGACGGAGTGAGGTATGAAGATACAAATACCGGCACTGTAATATATAAATGCACTGTGTGTGTTCTGTTTGTAAGTTCGTGCTATAATGGGTACTAATGGAGGTTGCAGAACAGACGAGCTATTGAAAATGGAAATAAATCATATAGAGAACACTAAGACAAAAACAATCGCGAGTTTTTACCACTGCACAGTGGGACGAAACTGAAAATACGTGGTCAAAATTGTGAAAAATGAACATCTGTTCTTCTAAATAATATTACCTGCTCTGAACGCCCAATCGTAAATTTTGTCAACTTGGAAATACTTTTGTATGTTTGCGGTGACTTATAAAAAAAAAACACAATACCCCCTCTTGTATAAATGGGATATGAATCTGTAAAGTTTGGTGACAAACCCCTTAAAATTTGAAATGCCCCTTTTTCCCACCTTTCGAAATATTTGACAAAATATGTAAGTAGATTTATAAGTTCAGCACATTAAAAAAATGTTTGCATTTAATATGTACGTATACAGCAATTTGATGTAAGTTTATATGTGTTACTTTAGACTCATTAGTGTGTTTTTGAGATACATTTGAGTTCAATATGTTCTGCAGGAAAGAAATATTCTCTCTTCTTCGCGAAAAACGCGAACAAAATCACTCAGTCCAGAGGGAGCGTTTAATTGCTCATCTAATAAAGTTTTACTATCTTGAAGACAAAGAAACTTTAATTCTTGAATAGAAGAAAAATGATAGACGGCTGTGTTCTGAATTTTCCTCAAGACTTAACAAGTGTAGGAGATATGAAGAGCATTTTTTTTAAGCAAAATGCATTATGGTTGGTAGCACAGGTGTAGTTAGTATTTTGGAGAGCAGAGAGTCCTTCTACGTCTGTATCTTCGACATTTAAGCCTTCAATATCTTCTCTAGTGGGCCGACCTAGAGTATCATTTGAAGTATAGACATAAAAAAATGGCAAGTAAGAACCGCTGACAAGGCAGGTGTAGAAGTATGAAAAAAAAATTCAACTAGAATGTCGTAGCAAACTTGGGTTGATTGTGGACCAATCGCGGGTAGGAGGAACCGGCACATCTAATGGGAACACTGCAAGGCGATTTTTTGATACTCCTAAAATTTCAGCAGAAATCACTGGAGTATAGGAAAATTTAATCTACAGATTTTCTGTGATTTTTAAACAATTGCTTGTGGAGAAGAAATACAATTAGAAGCATATCGTCACCTTAGAACTGGTTTGCCGCATATCCAGATCGCGTCCGAGGGATTTTCGCCTCTACTGTTTGGTGCAGATTTGCCGCATGTCGCACTTGGGCGAAGCGAAACATAGTTTAGATTCAGTGCTGATTTGCCGCATGTCCAAGCAGAAATCGATAGAGTACCGTTATCCGTTTTTACGTACTTCCTTGCTGTTTTGCTTTTCAGCGTTAGGTTTGGGGTTGGGAAAGAAATCGTATTCAACTTCACGCGCAGAACAATAAGAATAATGTGAAATAAATAAAAAAGAGACTTAACAATTTTGATGAATCTGAAATTAAAAAAAAGCAACTGTAATTTGTGCAACTCTTTTTCTGTTGTTATAGATGTTACAAATATTTTCGATTTTTTTTTAAGAAAGATTGAGTTTCAAATTATTAGATTCGAAATTTTACAAATTTAAATTTCAAATAGATTTGTTGCTAGTAAACAAATAATTTAATTTTTTACTTAAGAGTAACATTTTTATTTAATGATTTCTCGGAAATGATTGAACTTATTTTCTCTAAAATTTTAGTCAACAAAATTCATAATGCTGCATACCTGTATTCTTATTTGTGGAAATGATATTTCCACATCAATAATCACAGATAATAATAGATACATTTTTCAGAGATAATTAAGATTAAGATTTCTTAATCAACTTCACGCGCAGAACAAGTAATACGGCAAGGATTAATAATGTGAAATAAATGAAAAATTGAAACGATATTAGAAATCGCGTGATGAAGTAGTTAACTAAGTATAACGAACAATGAATGTTAAGTTATTGATGTTTTGATTCGATTTTTTCTAAATATTTTCAAAATAAAGAGACTTATTTTTCTTTATTTTTATATAAAATCTACATTTGATAAAACTCATTGCAGTCATTCATTTTACCTAAAAATTGTAGAATC